GACTCACTGTGTCCTCAAGGATGACTGAACTCCCAATCCTTCTGTTTCCATCCTTGGAGTGTGTGTAGGAATTACAAGCCACCACATCTGTTTTGTTTCGATTTGTTTTTTTAAAGATTTATTATGTATACAGTGTTCCACATGCATACCAGAAGAGGGCACTAGATCTCGTTTGAGATAGTTGTGAGCCACTTGTGGTTGCTGGGAATGAACTCAGGACCTCTGGAAGTAACAGCCACTGCTCTTAACCTCTGAGCCATCTCTCCAGCCCTCCCCCGTCCCCATATCTGGTTTATATGAGGACCAAACCCAGAGCTTGTGTGCTAGGCAATCATTCTACCAACTAAGACAGCCTCATTCTCAGCCTAAATTTTAATCTAAACTTTCTACCATCAATCAATCTATCTATCTATCTATCTATCTATCATTTATTTATTTTCTGTCATCTATCTATGTGCCTTCCTTCCCTCTTCCTTCCTTCCTTCCTTCCCTCTTTTTGTACTGGAGATTAAACTCAGGGTCGTGCACATGCTAGGCTAGTGCTCTACCACTGAGCTATACCATATTAACTTTGAAAAAAAAATTGACAGGGAGGCCCAGTGCCATGCCTTAGTAGGTAAAGCATCTACCATGAAAGCCTGATGGCCTGAGGTCAGTCCCTAGGCCCATATAAAGGTGGAAGGCCACAATCAACTCCACAAAGTCACCCCCTGACCCCTGTGCTCTCTTCCATGGCTCAGAAACAAATTGTGGTGGTGTGAACAAGAGCGGTCCCGATGCTAACATGTTGGACCGTGTGGTCCCCAGCTAGTGGAGATGTCCTGGAAGGATTAGGCGGTGTGGCCTCGTTGGAGTAAGTGTATCACTTGGGATGGGCTTTGAAGTTTCAAAAACCCATGCCAGGCTCAGTATGGCTCTCTGTCTCCTGCCTGCAGATCAGATGTGAGCTCTTAGTTACTGCCCACCTCCCACCACGCTCGTCATAGCAACGATGGTCATAGACTAATCTTCTGAAATGTTAACAAGCCCCCAGTAAAAAGTTTTCTGGTATAAGCTGCCTTGATCATAATGTCTCTTCACAGCAATAGAACAGTAGCTAAGGCATACGCCATAAGAAATAAGAACTGAAGATTTTGACAGGCTCTCCAGGGCAGCCGAGTCTGGTCTGGAACTCACCGATCCTCAACCTCTGGAGGGCTGATATTGCAGGCATGCTGTTGTGTGATGTTTCATTTGCCTTCTGACAAATAAAGTTTGCCTGGAGACAGGCTAGCTAGCCTCCAGTTAACCATAGAGTGTGGGTGGTGGTGGCTCACATTTTTAACCCCAGCACTCAGGAGGTGGAGACAGGACATGGTTGGGGGGGTTGTAGATAGGGTCTCAGCCCGATTTTAGAATGAGGAGCCAGGCTGCTCCTGGTTCTTTCATCTTCCAGGCTTTTACCTGATAGCCGACTCCTGATTTTCATTAAGATCATTTACATCAACGCTTCAGCATGCACTACCATACTCAGCTAGGTTTTAACATATTTACCATATGCATTGCATATCCAGAACAATACACGTAGTGTTTCCTAATGATTTGAAAAAAAAAAATACATGAATGTTGTCATGCTACAACTAGCTCCCTGGAGTTTTCCCTTTTCAATTAACGTTTGCTGGCTCTTTCCATGTCAGCCGATAATAGCTTTCATCTATTCTAGCCAAACTCGAGTCATCCCTCAAAGGGGCTGCCAAGTTTGTTTATCCATCTCTCTACTGATGGGAAGAACTCTCTGCGGTTCTGCCCTTGTTACTCACGAGTCGATGTTTCTTTTGCCAATGGGTGAGGTTGTAGCGCCTGTGCTACGATCTGTTCCACGCATCAGGTGGAGATTGAAATAAAGAGACATGACAGCGGGTCAGCGGCAATGTCGGAACGCTGAACGCTGAATGCCGTTTATTGAGAAGATGAAACGGGCTTAAATACTGACTCACAGCACAGTGGAAAATAACAGGGTTTTTAGGCTTAGCTCCTCCCTGGGAGGTGTGTGTTATCAAAACAGGAAGAGTACCAATAACAGCTTTGGGGCAAGGAGTTCTGGCCAACAGCTTCAGGCTCGCTCAAGGTGCCTCGGAGTCCATGTGGGCTCTACATGAGGTGAAGTAAGATGAGTAGAAACTAGAGCACATGCCTGGTAGTTTGTCTTTTTTTTTTTTTTGACTCCCACATTGGGGGATTCTAGGAGGTGCTCTACCACTGAGCCACATCCCAGACCCTCACTGGGGTATCCTAGGCAGGTGCTCTAACACTGAGCCACACCCTAGCCCCTCACTGGGGTATCCTAGGCAGGTGCTGCGTTGTTGAACCACACATTCAGCTCTTGGTCAATTTCCAGTTTTAGTTTCATGGGAAGCTTTGCACAATTGTTTCCTGTTAGGATCTCTGTGATCCTGTGTCAGGCTCTGGGCTCTGCATTGTTTTCTAATTGTCCCATAAAGTCATCGGTGCGTGGTGTACAACTCCTTTGTTTTTTACTAAGAAAGGGGAGATAGTATCTCACTGTGGCTTTGATCCGCATTCTTCCCGGATTACTAAAGAGATCTGAGCATCTTTACACAAACCTGATGGTGCTTTTGGTTTCTTTTGTTGTTAACTGATTTGCCCTGTGCTCTATCAGGTCCTTTGATTTTTTAAAAAAAAATGTTTTAAAGCTTTTCTTTCTTCTTTCCTTTCTGTGGATGTGGGCATACAAGTGACAAGGGTCTTTCTTTGGAAGTCAGAGGACAACTTGGGGCAGTGGTTTCTCTTTTTCCACCATTTGGGTCCTGGGGCTGGAACCCACGTCATCAGACTTGGTACTCAGCACTTTATCCAAGACCTCTGGCGTTCTGTTCAGTAGTTTGTTCATTTGTGTTTTCCTTCCTTCCTTCCTTCCTTCCTTCCTTCCTTCCTTCCTTCTTTCCTTCCTTCCATCCATCCTTCCATCCCAGTGGTGGGAGTGGTGGGAGTGGAACATGTTAACCACACACTCTACTCCAGCTTTCGGCAGTTGGTTCTGTCCTACCATGTGGCTGTCCAGGATCGAACTCAGGTCAATGGGCTTGACTGCAAGTGCCTTTACCTGCTGGCCCATTATTTTCTTTCTTTCTTTTTTTCTTTCGGTTTTGAGACAGGGTCTGTCTCATCTCTCTCTTTGTTTTTGTTTTTTGTTTTTTGAGACAGGGTTCTCCACGTGGTCCTGACTGTCCTGGAACTCATTCTGTAGACCAGGCTGGTTTCAAACTGGGAGATCCACCTGCCTCTTCCTCTCCAAGGCATATGCCACCACTGCCTGGCCGAGACAGGGTCTCTTTATGCTCCATTTGCTGTCCTGGAACTAGGCTGCAGACCAGGCTGGCCTGAAAATAATCAGAGATTCACCTGTTGTTGTCGTCTCCCCAGTGTTAGGCTTAAAGGCATGTGCCACCACACCCAACGCCATTATTTTATTTCTAATCCTTTCTTGTATTGTTTTCTGGAGCATACAAAATGATCGATATGCCATTATGCTTATTCATATGGAAACTTGTATGTTTTCTTGCTAAAACAGCTTTATCCAAGCCATACAAATAAAAATCATGTTAAAAAAACTTGAATAGGAGGGTTAAAGGCAGAAAGGATCAGAAGTTAGCCTTAGGTACACAGAAACACGGAGGCCAAGCTGGATGCAGCTCTTGTTTAACATGTGCAAGGCCCTAGTTTCAACCCTCCCAGTTAAGGGGAGACTGGACAGGGAGTGTGGGGGAGACTAGGGGGTGGTAGTGCACCCCTTTAATCTAGCACCCAGGAGGTAGCGGCAGGCAGATCCCCGAGTTCAAGGCCAGGCAGGAAGATCTCTGAGTTCAAGGCCAGCCTGGTCTACAGAGTGAGTTCCAGGACACCTAGGGTTACAAATAGAAGTCCTGTCTCAAAAAACCAAAATAAAACAAAGGGTGGGGTGGAGGAAAGACTGTGAGTCTCATTATTTCTGGGTGGTTCCTCTTCTTGTAACCCAGTCATTGACAGTAAATGCACAAGCAGTGCTCTCAGATGCCCCAAGAGGCTGTTATCAGGAAACCGGTAGGGCAAAAATCAGAAACTTTTCTCACGCTTGCCGAGCGTCTGCTCGTCCAGTGGTGTCTTCTACCCCCTTGTGGCAGCGTTGCAGTACTGCACCCGCGCGGAGCGCTTCCAGGTCTTGCTCTGGGGATGCGATTATCCGGGATTCAGAATGGCGCCCCCTGGCATGTTGGTTCCTCGCTGGTTCCTCGATGCTCCCAGCTGTTCATCCCTGGTCCCGTTTGGGGACTGCACGCCACCAGAGTGCACATTCGTTCTCCAGCCCGATGTTGATGGGGAGAGAGAAGGGGAAGGGAGGGAGGCGTGGGGAGGGGACTGAGGACAGAGGGGCCTCAGTTGAGGAAGCGAAATTGGGGCTCCTTCTGCGGCAAATCTGCTACCCTCAGGCTCAGCCTGGAATGTAAGTCAATACAGATTCCATCTCCTCCGCCCTTCTATTTTCTTCCCTCCCTACCTACCCACCACTCATGCCTGACAGCTTTGCACAATTGTTTCCTGTAAGGAAACAAGAGCGACTCTGAAATGTGTCTGAGCTGTTTCCCCAGCCACAGGTCACATAAAGCCCAAACCTGCTATTAATACACCTGCTGGGAATGGCTATCCTGGACTACAGGGTGAGTCTGTCTCCAAACAAAAGCCAAATCAAAATTTAAAAAGCTAGGCATGGTGGCTCATGCCTGACATCCCAGCTGTTGGGAAGTGGAGGCAGGAAGATCAGGAATTCAAGGTCATCTTATTCGATGGTTTGAGGCCAGCCTGTGCTACCAGCGACCCTCTCTAAAAAAATAAATAAAAAGATAGATAGATAGATAGATAGATAGATAGATAGATAGATAGATGACTGACCCAAGAGATCAGCCATCTATTTGGTCCGTGGTCACAATGTAGCCACATCTGAGCTGAGGTCTCAGAATCAGGAAAGTGGATCTGGGGAAAGGGATAGTGGCTCATGTGGCAACTGAGTCCCCATGGTAACTAATTCCCCACCCACCCTGTGGCATCTGTGAGGTCACCCTGCCTCTCCTGGCTGGAGGAATGGATGGAGGCCAGACATGGAGGCTGCTCCCCCGGTCAGATCCGGCCTCCTTGGAATTCTGCTGCAGGTTGGGAGTCTCTCTGCCTTGGTAAGCATAGTGGGGATAGGGGACCTGTAGAGATTCAGTGGTCCCTAGCCACAGGGAATAACTAGTGAACTCCTAGAAGCCCCATCCCTGAACTTCTGTGGCTTGGGTGTTATCATCAATCTTTCTTCCTCCCCTCCCCCTCCTCTTTTCTCTCTTCCCTTTCCTTCTCTCTCTCTCTCTCTCTCTCTCTCTCTCTCTCTCTCTCTCTCTCTCTCTCTCTCTCTCTCTGTGTGTGTGTGTGTGTGTGTTGGGAGTCAGCTCTCCCCTTCTACCATGTGGGTCCTGGGGATTGAACTCAGGCCATCAGGCTTAGCAGCAAGCACCTTTACCTGCTGAGCCATCTCACCGGCCCATTTTCCCTTTCCTCTCTCATCTCCTCCTCCCCTGCCTCCTCTGTCTCTTCCTCCCACTTATTTCCTTCTGGAGTTAATGTGTGTGGGTATGATGTCTGTACATGTGTGTATATGCACATGCCCGTGTATGCACATAGAAACCAGAGGTCCTAGATGTCCCTCTCAACCACTCTACATTACTCCTTCAATCCTGTGAACTTGGAGCTGATGAATTTTTATTGATTTTGTCTTTTTTGACAGCTTAGCAAGCCCCAGAGATCCTCCCATCTTCATTTCTTGGATTCTGGGTTGCAGGAATGCACTGGAACATGCCCACACTGATTTATTACTGTGGGTTCTGGGACCCAAACGCTGCTCTCATCTTCATGCCTGAGTAGCAAGTACTCTTAACTGCCTAGCCATTTCTCTAGTTCCCTCTTCTTGTGTGTCTCCTCCCATCACCAGCTGTCCAGGCTAGCTTCAAACTCACTGTATAGCCTTGGATGGCCTTGAACTCCTGACCTGCTGGGACAACAGGCATGTGCCTGGTGCCTGGCTTCCTATCCTGGTCCTTCAAGAGTCTGCAGACCCTGGACTCTGATGCTCCTGTGGGTCAGGGGGTCCAGGTTCATCACCTCTGCCACCCATGGGCTGGAGGCTCTAGGCTCTACCAGGAAGCTTACTCTTCAGGAAGGTATTCTCATCCTCCATCAATCCCACTCCTTGGTGAAGAGAAGGCACTCTTGGCCAACCTACCACTCAGATGAGAGACCTGGAAATCTTACGTCTCTCCCCCATCCCCTTCCCCATGTTCAACATCCCTCTGTCTCTAATGAAGCCGTTATTTCCAGATGCCCTCATGAAGCCAAGGGCAACCAGGGACATGCCCAGGTACTTGGGGGAAGTTACACAGCCTGTGTTCAAATCCTGAAGAGTTAAGGGGGAAGTCACATCTACTTAATTTTATTTATTTATTTATTTTTGTTTTTTTTGAGACAGTTTCTTGTGTAGCCTTGGCTATTCTGGAACTAGTTCAGGCTGGCCTTGAACTCACAGAGATTCACCTGCCTCTGCCTCCCGAGTGCTGGGATTAAAGGCATGTGCCACCAATGCCTGGCTGTCTTTATTATATTATTATTATTATTATTATTATTGCTATTATTATTGTGTGTGATGTGTGTGGTGGGTGCTTGCCATAGCACCCATTTGGAAGTCAGAGGAAGATTTTTGGGGTATTGGTTCTCTCCTCCCCTTTCATGAGTTCCAGGGTCATATTGAGGTCGCCAGGCTTGTGGTGCAAGAGCTCTACCCACTGAGCCATCTCTGTTTGTTTGTTCATTTGGTTTCATGTAGACTAGGCTAGCTTTGAACTTTTATGGCACCAGACGACCTTGAATTCTTGCTCCCTCTGCCTCCCAACAGCTGAGACGTCAGGCATGTGCCACCTTTCTTGGTTTTAGCCACAGCTGAGCTACATCCCCGTGCTTGCAAGTCACTCTTTAAAGACTATAGGCTGGGTGGTGGTGCCCACCTCTAACCCCAGCACTCAGGAGGATCTCTGTGAGTTCAAGGCCAGCCTGTTCTACATAGTGGTCTCTAGGACAGTCAGGACTATATAGAGAGACACTGTTACAAAAGAAACCAAAATCAAATCAAATCAAATAAATAGGGACTACTCTTATAAGTACATCCATAAGTAAACAGACGTGACCCATAACAACTGGGCAGCCCCTATGGCTAAAGCACAGGTCGGGCCCCACCCGAGGTGGGTGGTACCGGTAACACTGGTGTCCCCGTCTTCCTGCAGCTGATCGAGAACCGCACGCATGTGTACAGCTTCCTGCTCCTGAAGATGGCCGCCTTTCAGCAGTGGGTGTCAGGGCTGGCCCAGGAGGCCCGAGGCTCCCGCAGTGACCAGGCCCACCTGCTTCCAGGAGTCTTCATAACCTGTCCCCTGAGCTTGGCCCTTCGAGCTGCACTGGTGTTGCTATGGATCCCCCTGTGGTTGCTGCTCTGGGGACCCAGGCGGGCGTACAAAGTCGGGCTGTGGTGTGCTCACACTGTGAGACTGGTCCTGTGGCACTTAGGTGCCTGTGACCCTCTGGGTGTATGTGTAGCCACCTTCAGGGACCTGTTTATCTCCTGTTTGCATAACTCGATGCTGGTGGCCTTGCTGATGCTGTTGTTGATCTGGAGACTGGTGCAGAAAGCCCATCACTTTAGTCTGAGCAGGTTGCCCAGCCAGGTGGGTTGACAGGGATTCAGGCTGGGAATGCTGAGAGGCTGGGGACTCTGGTGTGTGACCAAGGCTGCTTAGTACCAGACATGGGCAGGTCCTGAAGGCCACTTAGCATACTTTTTTATTTTTTTAATTTAAGATTTACTTATTTACTATGCATAGTGTTCTGCCTGCATGTGTGCCTGCAGGCCAGCAGAGGGCACCAGATTTCAATATAGATGGTTGTGAGCCACCATGTGGTTGCTGGTAATTGAATTTAGAATCTCTGGAAGAGCAGCCAGTGCTCTTAGCCTCCGAGCCTTCTCTCCAGCCCTTAACTTGCTCTTCTTCGTTTTGTATTCTTATTTTTAAATTGAGTGTGTGTGTGTGTGTGTGTGTGTGTATGTGTGTGTAGGTGTCTCTAGAAGCCAGAAGAGGGCATCAGATTACCTGGAGTTGGAGTTACATGCAGCTGTGAGCTACTTGATGTGGGTAATGGAGACGGAACTGAAGTCCCCTGCAAGAGTAGTACATACTCTTACCCACTAACCCATCTTTCCAGCCCCATAGAATGTTACTAAAACAACAACAAAACAAAACAAAAAAACCGAAACCTTTATTGTTATTTGTGTGTGCACACGTATGCATGTGGGCATGCTTGGGCCTGCACACAAGTGGGCATCAGAGAAAAGCAGGATTTGTTTCTCTTCTATCACGTGGGTGCTAGGGCTCAAACACAGCTTGCTGAGCCATCCCTTGGACCCTTACCAATGCTCTTGCTTGTCTGGACCCTCCTGCAGAATTCTGTGTTGCTGGAAGCCCTGGAACTGCTGAGACGTATCTACCTGTGGGTGGAGCACACAACCACACTCACCTCCTGGAACCTGGCCTATCTTGTCACGTGGACCACCTGCCTGGCCTCCCACCTGCTTCAGGCGGCCTTTGAACATACAGCCCAACTGGCCCAGGCTCAGGAAGCCAAATCCCAGGAGACCTCAGGGCTTCCATCACCTCAGTTCTTAATTCCAGAGTCCTCCGCCACTGAGCCCTCCCCACCCCAGCCTGGAACCCCCCCAGAATAAATGTGTCCCCACCTGCCTTCCGGACTCCTTGTCCTTCTACCTAGATGGACTGGAAGGCTGTGTCATGTGAGCACGTATGGACCTGTGCTGACGGGTACACATGGCCAAAGTCCCAGGCCCAGGCACCTCTGGGATGGAAATCACATTGCCAAAGTGCCTTTCAGGCATCGCATGTCAACCTCCTCAGACACTTTACATGCCGTTTGCTTTGCCTCCTAGCAATCCCAACATCTGGCTTGACTTTCATTTTCCACACAAGAAAATTGAGCCTCAGGGATTGAACATTTCCAAGGTCACAGAACATGTCTCAGCTGGCTCAGGTCTCCAGGTGGCATTGCTTCCCAGGCCTCTAACTCTAAATCCATGCCCTTGGTTCTCAGTTCTCCAGGGACTTAAAGGATCTGGGCAGTTAGCGACTCTGGCCTCTGGAGGGTGCCAGGAACCCACAGTTTAGAGATGTAGAACGATTCCTTTGAGTATCACTCTCAAGAAAGTCTGGGAAAAAAAAGTAGCTCATTCATTAGCTCATGCAAAGGTATCTATCTACCCACTCCCCATTCATCTACATACCTGCCAATTGATCCATATGGCCCTCCCTCCCTCCCTCCCTCCCTCCCTCCCTCCCTCCCTCCCTCTATGCATCATCCTTCCACCCACTCAAAATTCATCCATTTACTCTCCACCCATCTCAAATCCACTAAATCCTCTCCATCTAAAAGTTCACCCACCCATCCATCCATCCCTCCTGAAACTCATTCTTCTATCCCTTCACCCCCAAATCCATCTATTATCACAAAATGCACCTGTCCAGCCTTCCCTCCACTCATTCACAAATCTGCTAGCCTATTCTTTCCTGTATCCAAAAAATGTCACATCACAGAAAGGCTGCCAATCTACCCACGCCCCCCCCCCCCCCCCCCCCCCGCCAAGACAAGAGAAGACTTATCTAGTCTTCACAGCTTCTCACCGGTCCTTCAAACACATTCTAGCATAGGCTCTGACCTGGGCCTTAGGTGAGTAATTCTTAGGAGAAAAGAGGAAGGGCTGGTGTTTTGAGAGTCAATCCTCACCTCTCACCCCTTCCCCTAGCTCAAGACTGTGTGTGTGTGTGTATGTGTATGTTGTGTGTGTGTGAGTGTGTGTGTGTATGTGTATGTTGTGTGTGTGTGAGTGTGTGTGTGTATGTGTATGTTGTATGTGTGTGTATGTGTGTGTATGTGTATGTTGTGTGTGTATGTGTGTGTATGTGTATGTTGTGTGTGTATGTGTGTGTATGTGTATGTTGTGTGTGTATATGTGTATGTGTGTATATGTGTGTATGTGTGTGTATGTGTATGTGTATGTTGTGTGTGTATGTGTTGTGTGTGTGTATGTTGTGTGTGTATGTGTGTGTATGTGTATGTTGTGTGTGTATATGTGTATGTGTGTGTATGTGTTGTGTGTGTATGTGTATGTTGTGTGTGTGTATGTGTATGTGTGTGTATGTGTGTGTATGTGTATGTTGTGTGTGTGTGTGTATGTTGTGTGTGTATGTGTGTGTTGTGTGTGTGTATGTGTGTGTGTGTCTATGTGTGTGTGTATGTGTATGTTGTGTGTGTGTATGTTGTGTGTGTATGTTGTGTGTGTATGTGTGTGTATGTTGTGTGTGTGTATGTTGTGTGTGTGTGTGTATGTTGTGTGTGTATGTGTGTGTTGTGTGTGTGTATGTGTGTGTGTGTCTATGTGTGTGTGTATGTTGTGTGTGTATGTTGTGTGTGTATGTGTATGTTGTGTGTGTGTATGTTGTGTGTGTATGTGTATGTATGTTGTGTGTGTATGTGTATGTGTGTGTATGTGTGTATGTGTATGTTGTGTGTGTATGCTGTGTGTGTATGTGTATGTTGAGTGTGTGTATGTGTGTGTGTATGTGTGCGTGTATGTGTATGTTGTGTGTGTATGTGTGTGTATGTGTATGTGTATGTTGTGTGTGTGTATGTGTATGTGTGTGTATGTTGTGTGTGTATGTGTGTGTGTATGTGTATGTTGTGTGTGTATGTATGTGTGTGTATGTTGTGTGTGTATGTATGTGTGTGTATGTTGTGTGTGTGTGTATATATGTGTGTGTGTGTGTGTCTGTAGGTTCAGAGAGCCTTGGTCCCCCCATCCCACTCTGTTCTTCATTGTCAGGGCAGCTAGTGCCTCCCTCATATCTGCAAATGGCCTAGGCTAGATGCGCCTTCCAGTCCTTCCTCCAAATACAGGAAGCAATTTACCGGTCTTTGAGAGACAGCCGGGAGGGTTCCTTTCGTTCAAGGCAAAACTGTGTGGGATGTGTGGGATGGCCTACAAGCTCCTGAGTAAAGGGCAGCCTCTTCTAGATTCCAGAGCACCCACAACTTCCTGGGAAACCTGGGTTCCCAGGCCCAAGAATGAGTTTGAACTGCCTGGGACCAACATAAGCCTTGGGGTGACTGGGCTGGGGGGGGGGGACAAGTGGAGAGGAGGAGGGAGAAGTGAGGTGATAAAAGTCTGAGCAGGGGACACAGTGCTTACAGGGTAGGGCTCCCCAGCTGGATGGCATCAGCCCTGGTGTGCAACTGAGCTAAGAGTGTGATACTGGCATGTTTTCCCTTTTAGTAGCTCCCCCCCACCATGGTGTGTGTGTGTGTGTGTGTGTGTGTGTGTGTGTGTGTATGATCATTTTGTGTGCTTATGTGCATGCATGAAGGTATTTGTGGTGGCCAGAGGTTGACATCAGTTGTCTCTCTCATCTCTTTCCAACTCTCTCTAGTTATATCTGAAGATTGCTGGTTTTGCTGGACCGGCTGGCCGTGGGTCCCCAGGGATCCATCTATCTCTACCTTCCCAGGGCTGGGATTGCAGTCATGTGCCACACACCTAGCCTTGTGTGTTGTTTGTTTGTTTGTTTGTTTCGAGACAGAGTTTCTCTGTATTGCTTTGGAGCCTGTCTTGGAACTTGCTCTGTAGACCAGGCTGGTCTCGAACTCACAAAGATCCATCTGCCTCTCCCTCCCAAATGCTGAGAATAAAGGCATTCACCACCACTGCCTGGCTATACCTAGTCTTTTTTACATGGGTTTTAGGGGTTGAAGCTAGGCTTCATACATACATAGTATACACTTCAATAACCGAAACATCTTTACAGTCCTTATTTTATTTTATAGTTTATTTTTGGATGCAAGCTCTGGTTACATAGCCTAGGCTGGCCTCATACTCACTCAATTCTCCTACCTCTGGTTTTCTTGAGAGGTAGGATTACAGGCATGCATCAACATGCTTGGCTAACTTGGATATTTATTCACTTTGTGTGTGTGTGTGTGTGTGTGTGTGTGAGAGAGAGAGAGAGAGAGAGAGAGAGAGAGAGAGATAGGGTCTTCTTGTGTAGCCCAGGTTGACTTCAACATCACAAGCTTCCTGCCTCAGCCTTCCAAGCATTTGTTTTGTGTTTATTCTCATTCCTCCTGGAGATGAAATCTGAGGCCAATTCCAGGGTAGGCAGATGCTCTACTTATTGAGCCACACCCCCAGCCCCTCTCTGGGGGATTCTAGGCAGGTGCTCTACCACTGAGCTATACCTTGAATCCTATGACTCCATTCTTGCCTTCCCATGTGGCCTTGGATGAGACTCTGTCCTATTTGGGCCTCAGTTTCCTTGTATCTACAACATGGTGAGGGAGAGCCCAGCAGGCCTCCCCTCCCCCAATGTCCCAGAAGAAATCTAGCCCAAAGCTGCAGACTGGTTAGGCCTCTTGTATACACAGCCCAGGCCACTGGACCTTTACACAAGCATGGGATCTGATCCCTGGATATTGCTGTATTTGCTTTAGAGCCTTGGAGATAAATCCCCCAATCTTTTAAAGACCCTGGTGGCCTGGGGCCTGGATTTGGGAGGAAGGATTAGAATAGCCTTCCTATTGCTGCTCCCCCTCCCCCTCCCCCTCCCTCTCCCTACACTGTTGCATTATCGTCCAGGATGAACAACCAACCCTCTCCCTAGGACCAGCTGTGTCTGTGTGCAAGAGATTGTCATGGCTGGATTGGTTGACTGTTGGCATTCCCTCATAGAATAAGAGGTGGGGAGACTCGTGGGACCCTCTCACCTGAAATTCCAGCCATCCCTCCCCTGCCAATTGTGCGCAGTTTTGCGCTAATTACACGTGGCTTTGGCAGGGCTAGAGTACACAGGCTGGGGAGGACGAGTGGGAGGGGCACCGTCTACACAGCCAGAGTCATCATCAGTCATGCAGGATGCAGGCTTTCCAGGTACCTGCTTTGGGGTCACCCATTCTCCTGCCCATAACCCTTCACTCAAACTCCATAGGTAAATCTCATAAACTCAGTTCCCTGGCTCGAACTTTGGTTTGTTGTTGGGACCTTAGGAAGGAGGACTGTATGTTCATATTTCCCACAGGGAAGGCATTTTAGCAACACATGTCCATGTGTGAGTGTGGGCATGTGGACCATGGCGTATGTATAGAGGTCAGAGGACAATCTTGGGTGTTAGTTCTTGCTTCATTTAAGATGGGCAATGCCGGCACACGCCTTTAACCCCAGCACTCGGGGAAGCAGAGGCAGGTGGATCTCTGAGTTCGACGCCAGCCTGGTCTACAGAGCGAGTTCCGGGGCGGCCAGGACTACATACCCTGTCTTAAAAAGCAAAACAACAAATCAAAAAAGACAGTCTGGTGCTCCCACCTCATATACCAGGGCAGCTAGCTGGCCAAGAGATTCTCATGTCCTACACATCCTATCTCACCCTAGGAGCACCAGGGCTGGATGCTACTCCATACATTTTTATGTGGGCTCTGGAGATTTTAACTCAGGACCTTATGCTTTTGTGGCAAGCATATCCACTAAGCCATCGCCCAGCCCTTCAGGTGCCTCATAACAATGTATAAAGCAGACACCCTGAAGAAAGAGCACCCTGGGTTGGAGTCTTAGCTCTAAACATTTTTAGCTATGAGAGGTGACTTGTGATTAGCCATAGCACCCCAGCCATCACAGGGCTAGTGCAGT